ATGGTGCTTTCCAACTTGCTGCGGTCCCGCGGAAACTCCAGCTTCACCTCCCGCAGGTGCGACTGCAGCAGCAGCAGCAGCAGCAGCAGCAGCAGCAGCAGAACGAGCAGCAGCAGCAAGCAGCAGCAGCACAAGCAGCAGCAGCAGCAGCAACCAGCAGCAGCAGGACGAGCAGCAGCAGCAGCAGCAGCACAAGCAGCAGCAGCAGCACAAGCAGCAGCAGGACGAGCAGCAGCAGCAGCAGCAGCAGCACAAGCAGCAGCAGCAGCAGGACAAGCAGCAGCAGCAGCAGAAGCAGCAGCAAATTCAAAATCCTCTTAAAATCCCATTTTCCATCTTTTTAATTCCTTTCCAATTCCCACTCCCCCAGCTGCTAAAACTGCCCTTCAAATCCCATTTAATTAAATGAATTAAATTAAATTAAATGAATTAAATTAAATTAAATTAATTAAATTAATTAAATTAAATTAATTAAATTAAATTAATTAAATTAAATTAATTAATTAAATTAAAATAAGTTTCTCACTTCTGCTGCTGCTATGTTGCTGCACAAGTCCCCCAAAGCTGTGTGCTGCTGCAGATCTGCCGTTTGTTTTCGAATTCCCTCCAAGTCCTTTTGAGCCTTCAAATTAAATAAAAAATAAATAAATAAATAAATAAATAAATAAATAAATAAATAAATAAATAAATAAAATTAAATAAATAAATAATATTAATTTGGAGTTTGTTTGTGGGTCCTGCTGCTTCGCGGTGTGCTTGGACACAAAAATTCAAATTCCCATTCAAACCCTAGGGTTTAGGGTTTAGGGTTTAGGGTTTAGGGTTTAGGGTTTAGGGTTTAGGGTATCAAAGCTCTACCCTAAAATCTGGTGTCTAGCGCTAACAATTAACACCTCAGCATATACACACATAGAACATAGCACATAGCATTTAGGGTTTAGGGTTTAGCGTTTAGGGTTTAGGGTTTAGGGTTTAGGGTTTAGGGTTTAGGGTTTAGGGTTTAGGGTTTGGGACCTGGCGCATGATTGCGAAGCGGACTCTGTAGGAAATGAAAGTGGCCCTCAAAACCATGAAAGTCACAAACAGAAAAACAGAAACTGAAAAGATCAAAAACAACAAACCGCCAACTCCCCCTGCGCGCACAAACCCCAAACCCTAGCAAACCCTAGCAAACCCTAGCAAACCCTAGCAAACCCTAGCAAACCCTAGCAAACCCTAGCAAACCCTAGCAAACCCTAACAAACCCTAGCAAACCCTAGCAAACCCTAGCAAACCTTCCAAACCCTAGCAAACCCTAGCAAACCCTAGCAAACCCTAGCAAACCCTAGCAAACCCTAGCAAACCCTAGCAAACCCTCCCAAACCCTAGCAAACCCTCCCAAACCCTCGCAAACCCTCCCAAACCCTAACAAACCTCCCAAACCCTACCAAACCCTCCCAAACCCCCCAAACCCTCGCAAACCCCCCAAACCCTCGCAACCCCCAACCCAGCCCCTCCCCCCCGCCTAGGGTTTAGGGTTTAGGGTTTAGGGTTTAGGGTTTGCGGGCCTGTGTCGTCAGTGGGGCTGAGCAGCAGCACCGCGAGGCTCCACCAGCCCGCCAGCCATCCCGCGAAAAGCAGCAAAGTTGGAAAAGAAAAAGAAATGGAAAAAGCGGAAATTAAAATTAAAATTGGAGAAGCTGCCAAGACACTCTCGCGGCGTCCGTACACCCCAAAGTCGAAGCCGAGCGGCCGGCCCAGCAGCAGCTCCGTCAGACGCAACAGACGGAAACCTGAGAAGAAACCGAGGGTTTAGGGTTTAGGGTTTAGGGTTTAGGGTTTGGGTTTGTTCGGGGGGTTAGGCGCTGTTTCGGGGTTTGTTTGGAGGGGTTATTCGCTGTTTTGGGGTTTGGGTGGTGGTTTTAACGCCAGCCGCAAGAGCCGGAAACCTGAGGGCAAGTCGAGGGTTTAGGGTTTAGGGTTTAGGGTTTAGGGTTTAGGGTTTAGGGTTAGGGTTTGTTCGGGGGGTTAGGCGCTGTTTTGGGGTTTGTTTGGAGGGGTTATTCGCTGTTTTGGGGTTTGGGTGGTGGTTTTAACGTCAGACGCAAGAGACGGAAACCGGAGGGATAAGTGGAGGGTTTGGAGGGTTTTGGAGGGTTTTGGAGGGTTTAGGGTTTGTTTAGGGTTTAGGGTTTGTTCGGGGGTTTGTTTGGTGGTTTTATTCGCTGTTTTAGGGTTTATTTGGTGGTTTTGCAGTCAAATGCAAAAGGCGGAAACCGGAGGTTAATGCGGAGGTTTGGGGTTTATTAGTTCGGCTTTTGGAGGATTTTGGGAGTTTTTGGTGGTTTAGGGTTTGTCTAGGGTTTAGGGGTTGCTTGGGGCTTTGTTTGGTGGTTTTATTCGCTGTTTTAGGGTTTACTTGGTGGTTTTATTCGCTGTTTTAGGGTTTATTTGGCGGTTTTATTCGCTGATTTAGGGTTTATTTGGTGGTTTTATTCGCTGATTTAGGGTTTATTTGGTGGTTTTATTCGCTGTTTTAGGGTTTACTTGGCGGTTTTATTCGCTGTTTTAGGGTTTATTTGGCGGTTTTATTCGCTGATTTAGGGTTTATTTGGTGGTTTTATTCGCTGATTTAGGGTTTATTTGGTGGTTTTATTCGCTGTTTTAGGGTTTACTTGGTGGCTTTATTCGCTGATTTGGGGTTTATTTGGTGGTTTTATTCGCTGTTTTAGGGTTTATTTGGTGGTTTTATTCGCTGTTTTAGGGTTTATTTGGTGGTTTTATTCGCTGTTTTAGGGTTTACTTGGTGGCTTTGCCGTCAGGCGCAACAGCCGGATTGGTTTATTGTTGTTTAGGGTTTGTTATTTATTCTTTATTTGTTTTAAATTTATTTATTTTATTTAATTTATTTAATTATATTTGTTTTAATTTATCTATTTTAATTTATTTAATTGTATTTGTTTTTAATTTATTTATTTAATTATATTAATTGTTCACTATCTAGTCCTATTAATTGATGCATTTAATAATACTTTTCATTATTTATTTATATTATTAATTCATTTAATTATAATAATTGTTAA